ATTGTTTGTTAGTTTATAGGTAGTGAAATGATGTATGATTGTATTTGACATTAGTGGATATTAGATACCCAAGAGAGTAATACATTCTTTTTGTTTTTATTTCATTTTTATGGATAATGCAATCAGAGAACGGTTCTTAGGGATATATATATATCACATTGACCTATTTTTAGAAACAGGTTTATGTTCATTGTAAGCAAGTGTGAATGTATGATCTCTGTAAGAAACTAATCTATTCCAGTAATATAAGCTGATCTATATTTTGATAGCTAAATAGTTAACGAAGTATGTGAGAGGGTAAATTTCGCTTTGTTATATTCTAGATAAATTAGTTCCTTAAAATGGAAAAGCTGTGATTATAAATTTAATAGGAGTCATTCTTTTTATGTCATACTGAATAGAAATTCTACGATTGTTTACATTCACTAAGATAAACAATGGAATGAATTGAAAATTTCTTTGAAATGTACTTATTCCTTTTTGTAACCAATCGTTTACATGAAACTATCTGGTTATAAGGTTACTAGAATTAAATAAACCGCTATAATTTCTAAACTTTAACTCCGCAGAACTATGTTGTTTCTAGACGCTTCAGTATAAGATTAGAACTGATAAGGACTCAAATTAGAAAGTAATGGTAATACATTTACGATGGGTATCCAATAGAGAAGAGCTGCACAATCAAATATACCCATTCATAGGGATTTCTGTATTAAAGTACATGAGTTCTCATATGGTACTGTAATCAATCCTAAAGGTTTAATGTGATTGAAACACATGGTTACTAGTTTTTTTATCTTACTTCTTCATTTAATATAAACTGCTTGGTGGATTATTGGTTACGAATAACGATCCTCTGAGGGATTAGTTGAAAGAATTTGTAAACAACAGGTTGGTAAGTGATGATCATGATTCCGAGTATTGTAATTCATTGCTTACAGTTTAGTGATTAAACAGAAAACACACCGGGGCTCACTAATTGTACGTTAGTCTGACAAAGTTACGAGTCTAGAGATTATCATCGTACAACGTTTATGAGCAAACCATATACTAAAAATGGTGTATTAAAAGCAACCAGTGATATGTTTGTAATGAACGATTCTAGGTAATTATTAAGACTAGAAGATACAATGATGTATTTAGTTACCATTGTCTTTAAAACTTTTTTAAAGCTTTGTTTCTCTGTACTTGGCTATGTCTGGAATTGTATTTTTACAAACTTTAATCCTATAAAACATTATGTAAATGCATCCAACCAATGGGTTCCATTTAGGACGGAACGCACGTTCTGAATTCCATTTCTAGCTACTAACTGACTCCACCGGATTTCCATAATGAACTTTTGAATTAGATTTTTAGGTAAAAAGAAGAATACTAAAAGTCGTTGCTATCAATTTCTTGTTTTTAATTTTTAAGTGTCTTTCTGGTAGACCAGTTCTGGCAGAAAATAACATACTACTGTTAATTGGATTAAATCTTGATAGAACATCTCTGAATAATTTTAGAATCTAATATCAATATCTATCAGGTAGAAATGGAATTCTTTATAGAAAGTGAATTTTTGAAAGAATCCAAAACAGACCATTATTTTTGTTGTTGAAAAATTTAGAAAATATCACCGAAGAGTGTATTAAATTAATATGATCTGGGGATCATAATGTGACAAACTTATCCAATAACTGATAAAAATCAACAGATCACAGTAATAGAACTCCAACACTATAATAGTGAACATCTCATGAAATAAATCTATATCTCTACATATATCTAAACTGTTTGTACAAAGTTAATCAAACGGAAATCCATGTATATTGAATGGCTTAATGAAATCATTTCATTTTTATGTTCTAATTACTAATCCGATGTTCTGGAACTTTCCTTCTAAAACTTTGTTTATCTGAAACAAACAACTTTTAATGACCTTATTGAACTCTATTGAAATCTTCGGTACATCATGATACACATATATATTCATCTTTAATCACCCTCGTATATATAAGTATGTCAATATATGTAATAACGTTGATTTTCAAATAATTTAGTCTATAAACAGGTGATGTGAACCTAATGAAATAAAATGAATTCAGATTATTCTATATCAATCTTCATTCTTGCTCTCTTTGAAGATAATAAAGGTAATTATGTGTATGAGAAAAAAAACAACAGTAAAAAGATCACGTAGTGTTGATTTTACTTGTATCTCCCTATTGTTATTTAAGACAGTGATTGATCAATCTCATGTTGGCATATGTGCATCCTGTGCTGATTGCCTCGATATAGCCTTAAGTTTGAAGCGAACGGTACTGGGTTCGAGTTCCGGAGTAAACATTAACTCTGCGATACAGGTACGTCCAGCTGACGAGTCCCAAATAAGATGAAACGCGCCTCCTAGATTCCGCTGCTAGCCCCCATCCATCTTTGTTTAACAATAACAGTAGTTTATGATCATTAGGTGATAATTAGTATTTGTACATAATCATTTCTATTATTTCTTAGATCTCATAAGGTTCTATGTGAAATCATAAATAGATTGATTTCATTTAGTTTATCTCGCTATTTACTAATACCTATCTATCTATTTCTATCTATATTAATGAACTAGATTTCTAAATCCCTATTGTAATTTCACTTTCTCTTCATAACTAAACCACCTGGACAGATACAAAATTATTTGCACAATTTATAGTTGAATGATTTGGCGAATATTTAATTTCTATATTATATAAATGTATATAGGTTTTATTTATTCACTTGTTTAATACAAGTTACTACACCTGCGTTATACAGTAAATAAAGTTGATTGTTATATATTTATATTATTTTACCGTCAATCTATTTACTTGTTTTGTTCTAAACTAACTTACAGGAATTAAAATTCTAAAAGATAATATCAATTGTATCTATGTATATATGTAGGTATGTATATATGTTCTTCCAATTATAACTATTACTTCTATAACAGAAAATAATAATAAGCATATAATCGAAAAATAGTTTTTAATGGTTTGAAGAAAGAAATATATACACTTTCTTCTGTGGTTACAGTCAATCACTCACTCACACTCACACACACACACAGACAAATACGAATACACACATACACCTACATATACACAAACACTCATATTTATCGGATAGGATTCTGGTAGTGTATTCATTTACTCATTTGTTCAATAAGGGACAATGTCTATAGAGATGTTATTGATGAAATATCTATTAAAGAGATTAATAATAAAAATAATAATCTTATATTATTATACACGCAATCTCTTTGTTTTCTATAAGAAGTTCTCCTGTCCTAAAATACTTTTAATTATTTATGAGAAGAAGAAGAAGAAGAGGAATCGAAAATTAACTTTATACAGGTGTTAGTAGGATAATTTACCTGATTCATTATGATAGACAAATACTAAATTTGTGTTAATATGCACAGATTAATTATATGTAGATTGTCAAATATTATATAGAAAACAAAAATAATAATATGGAGAGAGAGAAAAAAGAAGTTCCATTTGAGAAACTTTACTTAGTTATTTTTTATATTAAAGATATATGTATGTGGAAATTATTTGTCAGTAATAATTACCTGTGTTTTTTTTTTAATTTAAACACATAAACATTGATACGATGAAGCACGAAATATATATGCGTTACACAAATCATTCGATTTTTGAGGGTTGGACACCCAAACCAAAGCAGGGAGTTTTCATATGAGGCCCATACCTGGGGCCTTCGACCTAGAGGTGTGATCCACAAAGCAGTGGAGTAACCTTGGGAGATGCAGTCCCATGTTAGCCGGTGGCCGATAATTGGTTCATATGCTATTTGTTTCCTCAGGATCCTGAAGACCATGTGCACCATTGGTTTAGAATCAGGGTTTTCCAATTTTTGTAAATGGACCCTCCATATTCACCAATAAACCCGGTTAAAGCTCCGGACTTTCGCTTTTCATCCTCTCAATTTCGTAAACAACAATAATTCCGAGGGAAGGGGTTGAGTAGGATTCCTTTGACAGTGGTTGTATACGCGTCGCCACATGAGAGCATTTGGAGAGAGAGAGAGCTTACTCTCCCAACTCCCGGCCATACCAGGGCATTTGAGGGCCTGTAGTTAATTTTGGATTTGATTTTTATGTAGCAATACAAATTAATAACGGAATTCGACGAGGCAATAACTCATTGATCTAGTCTTATTAGAAATTAAAAATCAAATTTTTCATCAGCATTTTTTCCAATATTGTTAGTTTGTTAACTGTTCTTATAGATTATATCTTTTTCAAGAAAGTAGGAGACCCATCATATGATTTTGAAACAGCCTAGTTAAATCATATTGAAACAATTTCTTTCGGAACGTCAATTGTATTTAGCCATTGTTAGTATAATATTCTAATTTACGAATTACTATTTCCGACACTTAGATACTATAGGAATTCGATAACAGAGTCATATGGACATCAACTTACTTTATAAGTTCTATTCATCATAGACTGATATCATTTGGGGGTGCCTTTAAACTAACTAGATAATGTTGTTTAAATTGTATTTTGATAATTAGAAAATTGCATTGTAATGCATTCTTCAGTTTAACATATGAGTGTGAACTTCTTTTGAGTAATTAAAATAATTGATGACGGTGAAATTCATTGACATTAAGGCTATATGATTACGGTTGAAACTTGTAAATTGTATATCTAACATTAATAATTCATGTCAGTTTAAATCTAAAGTTAATTTCTTCTTAAACTGACATCATTTAGAGAACTATCTAAAACTAAAGAAAAGTGGATAATTGTTTAGAACTACTCAAAAGCTCTCTACTATAATTTCATTGATACATTCACTTTTTATAGAACAAAGTGTTATGAATAACCCGAGTCTTTGAAAACCCTGAAAATTTTATTATTACTATTGCTTGAAAAAGGTGTTTATTGATCATTTTCCCCGTTAAATGATACTTACAATCCTACTGTTACTGATAATAACAACAATAATAACCAAAAGTCTTTAAAAATTAATTTTATATTTCACATAAGTAGATAATAATTACGACGGGTTTTTTGTATCTGTACATTGATATAAAGTAAATTAAGTAGAACTTCTCCTCCTCATATGTAATACAATGAAACGACTTAAGTACCATTAAGTCACTTTCTAAGAAAAAAAACAAGGTCTACAATTTTTTGTAATAAAATTAAGATGGAAAACAAAAGAGGTGGGAGGAGAGGAGAGGAGGGGGAGGGGTAGAGGTAGAAGTAATCATCAGATATACATGTGTACACATATTACTTATAGATTAATTGAAAATATATCTACAAATCTACTTTATACATTTTATCTTATGATAAGCTTATCTAAGTTTATTGTTTATAAATGAATATAGGCATTCGTATAAGTGTTTAGTAAAGTCTTTTATCTAACTGTAAATTGTTCATTGTATAAATAAAATATTGATAATTAAATTAGATATTTGGATCATGGAAATTTGATAGGAAGATAACAATTTGATGTTTTCATTGTATTGTTATTTTTTCGATTGTTAATACTATTGTTTGATTCGGTATTTTGAGTACATTGTATCATATGTTTATTTAATAGACCCATTCGTGAAAATGAACGTGGACAATGTGGACATGAATATCGTTTTTCACGTTGATGTGTTTGCATATGAGCTCTTAGATTTGATCGATCTGCAAATGATCGACTACAAACATTGCATGAATATGGTCTTTCACCAGTATGTGTACGTTCATGTCCTTTAAGGAGCCATTTACGTGAAAATGATTTACCACAATGTGTACATCGACATGGTAATGTGTGCGTACGTACATGCATTTTTAAAGCGGATGCTTGTGAATAAACTTTCGAACAAAGTTTACAAGCATAACTGTTAGGTCCATTGATAATTAATGTACGATCAGTACTTTTTGTGTTAGAATATTTTGAAATTATTGGATTTCCAGAATAAGTTTTTGATTTTATATTACAAACATTTGTTAACTTTGAAGCATCTTTTGTCATTGATTGTAGGCCAGACTTGGTAATTCGTATTGGTGAATAAGATGGTAATGTATGTGTTGTTGATGTAATCGTTGAAAGACGATTTAACAAAGCAGTTTGATGATTATTAAATGAGAAATTAGACTGCAAATTAGAAGGAAAATTAGATAAATCATATGAATAAGTTGATCCTAAAATATCTGAATTAATTGAAAGTGGTTCGTTAGAATGACAAAATGCTGATCTGTCTATATTTTGAACATCTTTTGAAGAGTGGTTACTTCGTAAAGTGTTATTAACATTATTCAAATTATTAAAATCACAGGATTTATCATTGTTTGGATAATACATATTGTTATTCTGAATTAAATGAGGAATAGGACTTGAGGTAGAAGAATTTCCTGTTATTTGTGGTGATTGACAATAGAGATATTTAAACCATTCAAAATAACTAAGTTGCATTAATCTAGTATAATATTCATAAACTGCTGGATTTGACAATGAAAAATCATTTGTTTCTGTATTATGATGACTGATCTCATATTGTGAAGTAGGTATCGTTTGATATAAATTTGTCTTTTTCATAGATAAATTAATAGCATGTTGTTCATCATTTGATTGTTCATAATCATATTTCAAAAAATGTTCATATTGATAAGGTAAATGATTTTTTAGTTTTTCAGTAGGGGATCTATAATCTTGTTTTATATTATCATTAATATTAAATATATTGTTTAATCCTGTATCACATGGTATAGTAGTATATAAACTATTTGTTTTATTCATTTTAATATGATCCAATGTATAATTGAATTCATTTACTTCATTATTATTTTGAAGTTTTTCTTCTTTACCTAATTTATTATGATAATCATTAGGATCATCAATTTCATGATCATTTATTTGATGATTCATTTGTTGATATTCATTCTTATCTATTAATATATTTTGTGAATAACATAAACTACTATCATATGGACTAGATTTTTCTGATGGACTTGGTAATGTACCTAATGTTGTATTACTACAATTAAAATCAGAAATATTTAAATCATATTGTCCATTACGATTAATTGTTAAATCTTGAATTGATTTTTCTGAAGATGTTTCATGATTGATTATTGATTTTTGTGGAAATATTTTTAATAATTTATAAAATATCTCTTGAAAATTATGTAAATGATAATCTTGTAATTTTTGTTCTTTAGTTATATAATTATTCATTACTGTTTGATTTAAAGAATTAGTAGTATATAAATATGAATCATTAGATTTTTTTGAAATGAATGAATTTATTTCAGATGAAGAAAATTTATTAAATACATTTGAAAATTGTTGCATAAGATTTATATTAAATGATGATGACGATGACGGTGATGAGATAGTTGGTGATGATGATGATGATGGTGCCATATCAGCAAGGTGATTAAGTTCACAATGTGAAGATATCCATGTATCTGTAGACATTTGTTTCAATATATAATATTAATGTATTAAATAATTGTGTTTGAATGAAGATAATAGATAACTTATTGAAGATCACGATTCAAAATACAATGCTGTAAAACGAATATACATACACAAATATATATACATATTACATTGATTAATATAACAATTTGAGAAGTGATGAAACGTGCTATTAACATAAAAGTAGAAAGAAATCTTATGTTAAAACTTTCAAATCATTTAATATTTAACTTAAACATCTATCATTTGACTGATTAATATATTTCAATGGTTCAGATCATGTGTCAGGTGAAGCTAGACCACCATAAAAAACCTGGAAGCACTGGATGGCCGTTTCGCCTTATTGTGGTCTAGCTTCAACTGACTCATGATATCAACCATTAAAATGACTATAATATCCACAATACCTCTTCTGATTTATATATCTCATTAATTGAAATTATGAGTCTATGGAAGCTAGACTACCATAAAAACCTGGAAGCACTGGATGGACGTTTCGTCCTATTGTGATTTATATATTACTAGAAGATTTATTGAATTACCTTAATTCTAATCAGTACTGAAATGAATAACCATCTAAATCAACTGGGATATTTTCAATCATTAAGCCTAATTGTCTTCAGAAATGAAATTTAGTTTAGGATACATGTAAGTAATCATTTATAGTGAATTGTAAAGTTTTATTCTACTCCTTATTTTTATTTTAACTTCTGATGGGTTTTTTTAAATGTTATATTTTCTTTGCTTGATAATAAATCTTGGAAATATGTTTATGGATTAAAAAAATTGTTATCACAGGTAGTTATCACCGGTGATATTGGATGGTTAGCACATTGTATATCAAAAGACTGGAACTGAAAGCATGGATCATATAAATTCCAGATTATTAATGTTAATAGTGTATTAATTTTTACTAGACCTAAAGATCCTACGTTTGAGTCAGTGTGATGTTAAGAATATGGACTGTGAAAGAAACTCAAAGTATAATAAGCGTTCGCGCGCAAGGCCGATAGGCCCTGGGTTCGAATCTCGTGGATGGGCACTTCTAAAGAGTCCCATAATAGAACGAAACGACCTTCCAATGCTTCCAGGTTTTTCATGGTAGTCCAGCTTTAATCGACTCATGAATTCAACTATTAGTAATATATCTGTTCAATTCTATATCGTGAATAAGTAAAAATAAAAGGTTGATAGTTTGTGTACTGCCGAAAAAATATCTTATTAATACAAAAAAAATTTAAGAAACCATGATAGAGGTTGAATGATTTTGATTAGCTTTTCTCAAATAATATTATAATAAAGTATATAACCTTATTAAATTGTCCGGTTAAAGAAACAACTCTAGAAATAGATTTAATCAACCATCTTAAAAAACTTTAATACTTTTCTCTAACATACTAAGTACAAATTCTAGTAACATAGTATAATACAAAAAAATAATTGTGAATCTTTATGACATACTATTAATTGTTTAAAACTAAAATTAATAGAATCTCCACAAAACCTCTTCTGCTAATAATCATCTGCTTACAAGTGATTGACTTCAAGAGGCATTTCCTGGAGTTCTAGTGAGAGGCTGTGACCAGTGGAGTTAAACTAGGTCTGTTGTGAGATAGAAACTCACTGAAGACAATGGTGTACGGTGGAGCGATTTCGTGAATTGGTTGAGGTTAGACATTAACACCATTGAATGCCGGCTTAGTGGTCTAATGGTTAAGCGTTTGCATGTGAGACTGATAGGTCCTGGGTTTGAATCTCGCGGGGGTTGAGATCGTGAGTGCGCACTACTGAGGAGTCCCACAATAGGACGAAACGATAATCTAGTGCTTCCAGATTTTCCATGATGGTCTAGCTTCAACCGACTCATGATGTCAACAATTGAAGTTACTAAAATCTCCACAAAACTTTTTCTGATAAAACTAATTCTATTTATACTACTAACTTCTACACTTTTCTTATTTAAAGGTATCAATACCAAGGTTAAACTTAATAGTTTCAAAGAAACTGAATATTGGGTAGAAAGTTAGTAATAAATATATTTTATTTATATCTTAATGATTACACCGTAATATATTTTATAAAGTTACCTATTTAAGTCTATTCCACCATTAATAAACCATTCAATGCAATCTCTACAATAAAGTCTGTTGTGATAACAATGAGGAGTAACTAAAATATTTTTGTAATGTACATTGTTATATAACTACTGACATTTTGTAATATTCAATCAACTGTAAAGACGATATCAGAATTCTTATTCTTAGTGAAAATTAGATATTCAGTTGGTAGTTTAATTATTAATTTCTTATTGAATAATTACTTTTATGATTTTAACTTGAATGATCAGTTTGAAGTTATTTATATTCTGCATATTCCATAAATTAGAATTATTACAAGTTAAATCTATTTTTAATAGTTGAATTCATGAGTCAGTTGAATTTAGACCATCATGGAAAACCTGGAAGTACTGGATGACCGTTTCGTCCTAGTGTGGGGATTCTCAGCAGTACACATCCATGATCTATTTTGATTGTATAATTAGTAAAACAATTCGTTTATCCATATGAGAGTACTTCTTTTTTATCTATTTATATAAGTAGTTGAACAGTTAGTAACTAATTTAAAAGACTAACTCATTTTCCTTTTACGAGTTTAAAGTGTAATCGATTTTACTGAATTTCCGATTTGGAATTTTCGCTTATGTGTCAGTTACTAATAAACATTTTGGATTATAATCTTTAATTCAATTCATTTTAAAATATTAAATAGAAGGCAATATATTAACCTTGAATGGATAACTAATATATGAAGCCTCATAATTTCAGTTTCCCTAATATTGGTAAAGATTCATGAAGGATACAATTAGTATATAATGCGATTTTCCTGCAACCGTTAATTGTAATGTTCAATAATTAACACATAATCATATCTAAGAAATAAAGTGAGAGGTACTTATACTATAATTCGGTGATATATCAGACAGCACGATATTGGGAAGTACACTATTCAGTAAGACAGTCATCTAGTCTATTTTTTTCAGGAGATGCAAGCAGCTTTAAACTGAGCATCCGAATAATTCCAAAAGTAATAACTTTAAGTAATTTACGTTTATTCTACTGCTATTAAAACAAAGAACTGACATAAAATGCTTTAGAAAGATTTCAACTTGAGTCATACTGCTTATCATAGTTACTAAATGCAGATCGTTATCATTATATTTATAACCTTTGGATATCTTGATAAGTCAGTTAATCACCTAATTAATATATTTTAATCCGTATTTTCAATTTTGGCCAATATGTAGTGTAGTGAGATCCTCATCTAATATTGCTAGTCTTTTGTTATCTCATTTCTGACTTGATTGAATCAACAAGTCAACATTTACCGTGAAACTTTAGAAGATCAACCCACAAGTTTGTTCAAAGTCAACAAATAACTATGATTTAGTTGTAGAGGTTTAGGAAGACTATAGGGTCACTCACTGAGAAGATTGGGTAAGAAACGAAATAAGAAATAAGGTTGATCTATCTTATAAGTTATGTCTAAATACAAACAAACGATTTAAATTTATGGTTTATTCTTTTTTAAAAAAAGAGACCGTCTTGAAAAACAATTGTTTCAGATACAGTTCTCTATGATGAAATGAATTATAGTATCAAATAGGTTTACTCACTAAATATCACAACATTTTCAAGTGATTGGTTTTGGTCATTAAATCAAAAGTTATAACGGTACCGATTGTTATTTACCTAATATCCTCACCATATTACCCTAGATACTTATCATAAAGTCACTGTCAACCTAACAATTAAAGATTGGAAAATAGTGCATTAGCATTGTTAATAGTTAACGTTCCTTACTTTTACTCTTTTTATTATTATTATTATTTCGATTGATTTATGACTATTCAACTGGCCATTAAACTGTTCATATAAAAAAGAGAAATTCGATTAAATTCTATATTTCCTTTTTTTTTCCTTATTTCCCTCTTTTTTTTTCTTTTTTAGTCAACTCATTAAAAACATACGCACACACACACGCACAACCTGAAATTATGTAATACAGATTTCAATTGACTACAATCATAAAACATGAATCAAAATATTTAAAGTGAAATAATTAATTTACCCAGATGTTTGTGTTAGTGACACGTGTCCATTGGAATTCATTATGAAAGTCAAAAGTAATTTCTATTTAACTTTTACATTGTAATTCTTTATTATTATACGAATATATTTACAAAAGGGACTGATAAACTAAAAAGATTTTAATGGATAATTAAATTAAGTGTTTCATCGGTCTTGTAGTACTTATCTCTAGATAATCACAAAAGAACATTGATATTATTACTTTAAGGCTCTTATTATGGTTTTAAAACATCTGATATTGAGATGATACGTGAATGTCGGTGTTAATGCTTATATATATATGTAATAGTGAAGTCTTGATGAAGTAGTTTGTGCTACTTAATTGTTAAACATAGGGGATTTTTGAAAATTTACACTACATTCTTAAATGATACACCATTGACTTTGAAAAAGTTTTAATTTAAATGATTGAGATCATGAGTTAATTGAAGCTGGACTACCACGTGTCGCTCAATTTCGTGGATTGGTTGAAGTTAGACATTAATACCGTTGGATGCCGGCCACCTCAGCGATCTAGACGTTAAGCATTAGCGCACGAGACTGATAGATCTTGGGTTCGAATCTTGCCGGGTGAGATCGTGGATGCACACTTCTGAGAAGTCCCACAATAGGACGAAACGGTCGTCCAGTGCTTCCAGGTTTTTCATGGTGATCTAGCTTCAATTGACTCATGATCTCAACCATTGAGATTACTACAATCTACCTCTATTCAAATCTCAAAACTGTTTGTATACTTAGCGATGAAAACATTACGAATTATTCGCTTAATAAATCCTTATTCAAACGAATCCAGCTCGAAAATAAGGTACACTATTGTGTAGTCAACTTTAAACATTACTTCTTATTTTGAGACTGAGATAACACATTAAAAAACTGAGATAAGTAGATCAGGGTTTAAATTTTCAACTCCATCTAAACTTATTACATGATATTGTTAACAATTCATTGTTTCAACTTTATCAATAAACAGTTTAGTGAAGATGGAATTAACACTTCTAAGTGTTCTAGCTTAATCATTTGTAGGAACTATTTATTGTTTATTTATTCGAACATGTAAATATTAGTACGATGAGACACTGAATACATATGCGCCACACAAGTCACTTGATTTGTGTGTGGGTTGTGATACTACCCGAGCCTTTGATCAAGAGGTCTAACCCACAAGGCAGTGGAGTAGCCTTGGGAGATGCAGTCCCGTGGTAGCTGGTAACCAATAACTGCTTCATATGCCATTTTTTTACTCAGGATCCTAGAGACCATGTGCATCATTGGTTTGGAATCAGGGCTTCCCAACTTCCCTAGATGAATCCTCCATATCCACTAACCAACCCGGTGAAAGCTCCGAACTTTGACTTTTCGTACTCTTAATTTGGTGAACAACAGCAATGCTGGTAGAATGGAATGTGTAGGATTTCTCTGACAATGGCGATATACGTGTGGCCACATGAGAGCATTTGGAGAGAGAGAGAGAGAGGGAGCCGACTCTCCCCTCTCTCGGCTGTACCAGGGCATTTAGGGGTCATTTGTACAAATAAAGGAAATACTCATATAGGAGCCCATTTTAACCAATCATAAATCACCTAATATAACAGGAGGCCAGATAATCTACTCTTCTCTTGAGTTGACTTATTAAAATATTCTTTTTAAGATCAGTAAATCAGTGGAATAAAATATATAAATGCATTACTTATTGATCATTTAACAAAGATCTAGTTAGCAAATATCATTCAAGTTAACATTAATTGAAGCACAGAAAGATTTTAATTTTTAATAAAAATAAGATCTTGAGTGAAATAATCTGGGAGCTGATTAATGATTCAAAACTGATCTTTATTACATGCGTACTGAGTGATCTATTTTTCATTTACCATACATTCAAGAATAATTCATAAAGTAAAGCTCAAAAATGAAACACTAAAGCTTGGCTTAACACCGAAATGATAAATCAATTAATACATAACATTAGTTCATTTAACTTGACTTAAAACAGTCTGTATAAATTACCAATATCATTCATAACTTATCCCACAAGTCGGTGCTTATATGGCCTCATAGAAACTATCAACAGTCCTAATTACAGAATGAAATTAATTTCGGTGTTCAAATCGTTTCTATTCAAAGTATGTGATAAATATTTAGTTTGAAGAGAAGAAAAACGAAATAAAGTTTTTTTTGGCTAATTCTCAACTTTATGCCATTTGTACAACAGCACACAGCAGACAAAAATGAAAAGTGTTCTCCATCAAAATTGAAGAACATGTGAAATGAACCAAAAAATATCACAGTCTTATCAATGTTGCCACGGAAGGATACCACATCATTTTAGGGAAAAATGATATGATAGGAAAGTGAATAACCTACAAACTAATCACGTTTATGATTGTGATTATTTTATTTATAAGGATACATACTGAGTAGTTGTCTTATCTGTTGGCTTTTGTAATTAATCTGATTTAGTTAGGAGTTATCACTCCTCAGCACGATATTATTTACATGTTATTAATCAGTCAGCGTATTCGACCGATTAACTCAATAGTCCCCAAATGTCCTTTATTGAAAATCTTCGGATTTTAATTCATAGCCCTTTCAAACTGGATTTTAGCATTAAATTCATTAATGTCAGTTGACGTATTACAAAATTTAGGACTGAGTCAGACAAGCAACCTTAGCCCCGTACCTGATAAAGATTATGAGCACTTCAAAACAACTCCTGTAGACTGTTATAATCAATATGTAAACTCAATATCTACAACTAGACGATTGCTCATAAAAGATCATAGTCATTTGTTCCTCACCTGAATGATTAATTTGATTCAATCCTTTGAATGAATAACATAATGAGTATATTTAATTTCCTATTTCAATATTATTTTACCTTATCATTTAAATCACCCAGTTTTAAAAAAGGTGAATATATGAATTTGAAAGTCTACTAATCTTATTACACTACTACATTGAAAGGTTTACAATGACATCGAGTTTACGGCAATTGTATAGGATAGATAAAATAAGACCATTGGCAATGTCCAGTATGTAGTTAATGACTCCCAGCAGTCAGCTTGAAAATAATGCATAATATTTAAGTTTTAGTTTCACTTTTTCCCAGGGAGTGTCAGTCATTCCTTCAAGTTTAAACATGTTAACATAAAATAAATTTTGAACATAAAGAGATCTTACTATTTTTTTAAACATTTGCATTCTATTAATGGATAAGTATGAAATTGGGAAAATGTATTCTATTATCGAAAGAAACAATATTTGAAATCTTGCCGAATGAATAATTGATTTTAAGAAAACCTACTCCAATGTAACGGGAAATCATCTGGAACAGAAAATTCATAGAGATCCTAGTAAAATATATTTAATTCATTGGGATAGAAAGTTTTTAAAAGAGAGTATGCAGATCTCGGTAACATCAGACAACTGTCGTGTTACTTTAAGTCCACTGGCGCTAACCACTGACTTTCAGTCAGTGATGTATGGAAGATATATTGTCAAAAAAGTTTCTAACTTACATGAGCACGTGTATTTCCATAGGGTTTCTCAACTATTATTATGTATTCTGACAGATTTTTACATTGAACTGCAACAATCTTTAGTATATACATTTAAAAAATGGGAATATAAAGTTTATGTACTATACAGAACAGATCTTTTGATTCGCCTATTTTATGTGTGATAGTCAGTTAGCAGTATCAACAACTTTGAATTAGATTTATGAAATAGGAATTTTACGAGTTTTAAGAAGGCCGAATAATGAAGTTCTACTTGCAAGATTTAATCCTGACTCACAAGTTACAATTGACTTAAAGTTACAAAGTCTTATCTCATTTTTATATATGGACGCAGATGGATGATTTCTTCAGAAAAAAAAAATACAAAAGATATTTACGTAATAAATCTTGAATTTAGTGTTAACTAAAAAAGTCATAGGATACTTTGAAATTCATTCTAAGACGTTTGATGGATAATAACCATACTATTTATTTTCATTTCTGTAGTTCAGCTGCTCCTATAGAGTCAGTTATATTGGACATGTAATCGGACAGTTACACCATCGGATTTTTGAAAACCATTCTGTATAACTGACCGAATGACAAAATAAAATAACAAAAAGCTCTGTTCTGGGATATTAAGTCCATAATGGTTACCACATTAAAAAAATTAGCTTTCAACGTTATTTGCAGAATTCTGTTTAACTTGAATTATGCTTTCAGAATCAGTCTTCTAAGTACAGAGAAACCCATGGGAATACGTATAAACATACTTGAAACTGGTGTATAGTAAAAGTTTATACAACCTTTCCTGCTATCCTGGTCTACTACTTAATTACTGTTATATCACTCAAAATATTTTTCAATATTTTCAATTTTATGTTATCTTCTAATTGTATTTTTAAGTAATCTATCTTAAAAAACCATATCATCAACTACTAATTATCGCTTTTAGGGAAAATACGAAGGTACAAAGCGATGTTGATTACCCTTTCATTTATTTGTTAGTTAATCTATGTTTAATTTAAAAATCCATTTATTAGTGTAGAACCATGATAAGGAACGAATTGAATAGAGAACTTTCAGATTATCAACATGTTTTTGTAAATATTACCTAGCTGATATTTTCTTATACATTTAAATTATTTCAACAGTCAAATTTGTGAGTCGATCTGAGATGGACCATCATTAAAAACCTGGAAGGATTGCGCATCCGTTTCGTCTTAGTATGGGACTCCTAAAATGTATGCATCTACGATCTCGTTGGACTCGAACTCAAGACTTTCGATCTCGCGCGCGAACACATGACCTCTAGACCACTAAGCTGGCATCCAACTAATACATCTTATCAATTTATTCATTATACAACAAACTGTTAGTCGTCTAAAATATTCTTCCTTATTTTCTACTTTTCATTGAACTCTTTTGGTAAATAGTCAATATTAATAAAAATGATCTTTAATATATAGCTGATATTATTTAATGAAATTAAAAAGAAATCTGTTGACTGATTCAATGCAAATTCATAATTTAATTTATCAAATACACTATTTAACTTACCTAAGAAAGAATTAAATTGTCATATTAAGTAATTTCAATTGTGATCGTAGTTATTTTGAACGTTTATATCATACTAGTAAACAGTTGTATAGTAATTTCCTAGCTAGTTATATATATTTTAAATCCATGTATAAAAATGTATAAAAAAGTAAACCGTAACTGACTTTGTAACTGTTTGTTATATATAGCTACTCCCCCCCAAAAAAAATTGTTAATACACATGTATGGACATATATATTGTTGATTTCTCTTCAAAGTGCAATACATAAACATGTGATATGTAAATCTATCATAATATGTTTATAATGTACGTGTGTGCATTTACTAGTTCACATAATATGGTTGAACGGTTGATGTATATATGTGCACACGTGTTTGTCTATTCTTTTTTTTTCTCCTCCTTCATTGAAAATGGTGTATTTTCAAGTGAGTACATGTAGAAATCATAAAATGTAAATGGAATGACAATGATAACAACTACCATTTACAGTGTATATGATGACTGGATAATATTTCTGCTTTTTGTTCTTCTTGTTTTTTTTTCTTTTGGTGTCATAAACATAAATACCACATTTGGTAAATGTGCTATTGATGTCATCAATAATAAGTGTCAAGTGGTAACTAAAAATGGCATTTTAAGAAAATCAGTGAGTAAAATCAGTGATGGATAGTGAAAACAAAGAATGAACCAATCAATAAATGAGACGTGGTCATGATTGTATAATTATGCCACACAAAATAATAACAATAATAATACGAACAGAGTAAGATGGGAGCATATTATTTAAGATTTTCACATGTATTTACTATATTTAATTATTGTCACTAGTAATTTACATTCAATGTGAAGTTTAATGAAAAATTAGTTGGTTTCACGTGTTTTTGCTTTTTTTCATTTCTTAACTGTTTACACTTCAGTATGACAAGACAAATCAAAATTAAGTGTAATACATATACAATGAATAATCTCTTTTTAAAAAAACAAGTTGCATATTAGTGTCGTTTTAAAGATCTATCAATTTGAGATTCTAACCTGACTGAAATAAATGTTCAGCAGAAATCTTAATTTGACCGTTATGAAGTTAGTATCAGAAGGAGTTTTGTGGAGATTTTAATGGTTGAGATCATGAGTCGATTGAAGCTAGATCACCATGGAAAACCTGGAAGCACTGGACAACCGTTTCGTCCTATTGTGGGACTTCTTAGCAGTGCGCATCCACGATCTCACCCCGCAAGATTCAAACCCAGGATATATCAGTCTCTTGCGCGTACGGTTAACCACTAGACCACTGAGGTGGTCAGCATCCAACGGTATTAATGTCTAACTTCAACTAATCCACGAAATTGAGTGATACATCCACCATTGTCTTCAGTGAGTTGCTATCTCACAACAGACCTGGTTGAATTCCACTGGTTACTGCTTCTTATTACAACTTCAGGAAATAACTTTTGAAGCCAGTCGCTAGTATTTTGCGGATATTATAGTAATTTAAACAGTTGAAATTGCTATGGAGAGACCAGGTTATCTCTCTATTTTTTTTCAAATCTATATTTCTGCCATAATTTTTGTTATCATTTAGTGGATTGTTGATCATATATATATATATATATATATATATATATATATATATATATATATATATATATACAATGTTGTTCATTTCAATTTTTAAGTTTTATTCGAAAAATTAATTTATCCTGATAGTCCCATCTTCTCTATCTCACATTAGAATGTGAATTATTAACGTTGGATTATTGTTATATGTAAGATTTCCGGTCTATTTGATTGCATATTCCTTCTCGTTCATAAAACAACAACAACAAAAATCCCCAGTTCTTCGTAAACAGAATTTATAATAATCCAGAAGGGAACCATAAATATTTAAATATTTTTACCAACATTTAACAAAAATATTAGAAGTCTATTAATTATTAAAGACATAAATCCTAGTGACCAAGTACATGTTTCTATGATTTTTTCCATAGAAACTATTGAAAATGAATTTCAACCTTGATAGAAATGACTAAAAATGTCAATTTAGAATTATAAAAAGAATTCTATTACAGACTCATTAGTAATTCAAATTTTAAATTAAGTAAATACTTTAGTTTCAGTAGTTAAGATCATGAGTCAACTGGATCTAGACCACCATGGAAAACCTGGAAGCACTGGATGAGTGTTTCGTCTTAGTATGGGACTCCTCTGCAGTGCACATCCACGAACTTTATTATTCAACAGTTATATTCATTGTATACTATTCTTATGTAAACTTTATTTAATAAGTAAAAATGAAAGAAACTACAATATATCAGTGTATAAATTACACCTATCATCAGCGTGCGGGTTAAACTGCTTTCATATAACTTTTGAATAAGAATACTTACAATAAGAGTAGCCGGGAAAAATATGAAAATCAATTAACTTCTCTTCAACAAGTTATTTTGTAGATTTTTTGTTTCGTAACCATCAGACAGTCATTTACTCTGAAGAAGTGGCCTATATTAAATCACGAAACGTCAAAAATATTATTTTTCTACTCATTTGGATATAACAAAAATATATTTACCATTAAGTATCTACCTAATGTTCAATTTATCTGAATGGTATTCAATGTCATATATATTGAACTATTATTTGTACACTTTTTAATTCATTGATTAGTTTCAGTATGGTGTTTTGGAGATTGTTGAGTTCTTATTAAGATCATGAATGGATCAATGTCTAATCACATGAATAACATATTACAATGTTCAACAATGATTACAGCAAATCAAATAGTTTCCTTTCATTCTAACTGTTAGTTTATGGAAGTGAGATGTTACGTCTATCATGTGTAATAAACAATACAGAAATAGAAATAGATGAACTGAATGTTGGTAACTTAAATGACATAACAAGTAAATATAATGAAAATATACTTTTTTGATGCATGAGATTATTAACAATTTACAAAAAAAGGTGAGTAATTAAAAATAATCATCAAAAGGGGGTTTTGTGGAGATTTTAGTAATTTTAATAGTTGAGATCATGAGTCAATTAAAGCTAGACCATCATGGAAAACCTGTAAGCACAGGACGGCTATTCGTCTTAGTATGGGACTCCTCAGCAGTGCGCATCCACGATCCCTCGGGACTTGAACTCGAAACCTTCAACCTCACACGTAAACACTTAACCTTATCAATTAAAAATCTCTGCTTGTATTGAAGTAGCCTTTGAAAACAAATTAGCATAATTCCTAGTGGATAAAATTCATTTTTGTACATTGAATAAGTTAACTAAACAGCCAAAATGTGATAACACCTTTAAAAAATTTTATAGGTTAATTGTAGTAACATTTATATTGCGATTTCACGTTCTTAATGAAGACGATCATTTTCAGATACAGTTTAATATCCATCTTAACATTTACTATGCATTGTAAAATAAAACTTTAAAAACATTGCTGAGACCTTCACAGATATAAAAACCTGGAATCACTGGATAATTGTTTTTAATCTTAATATAAGACTCTTCCAGTTTGCGTAGTCATGAATAAGGAGTCCTAGACGAAATGAATATTCAGTGTTTCCAGGTATTCAATAGTTGTTTAACTTATATCATTTCATGATCTCTTGCAAGTCAAAGTTATGAAAATCACCATTTTAGTTCCATTTTCTTGCTCACATATAAATAACTAGTATATAATTCATTAAAATATGTACAAGGTTAAAGAAACTATTAAAATAGCTTTTAAAAAAAGTCAATAAACATATAATAACTCACTTGATTAGGTATAGAAGTATTTTAATGCAATTTCTTTTTATAATGAAACTGGAATTCTATTCTTATTTTAATATCCAAATGGAATAGTTATATATGTACGAATTTTCATCAAAGGAATTAATATTACCAACTAGTTTCAAGTGAAACAACAACAAGTGATTATTATTTCTAAAAATGGCTTTTATTTTATTCTATTTTTTCAAAAATAAAGGGAGGGGGAAAGGATTTGAAGGGGTTGAAATGAGCAAATAATTCCCCTTGTTTGATTGGTTCAACCTGTTTTAACTTGTCGGTATGTAATGCATAGATTGCTAAAATATTAGTTGAACTTATCAACTCAAATCATTCAATTTTATTTTATTGTCTTTTTTATATTTTTAAACAAGAAAGTATGTTCTATTCTGTACAATCTGACTTTTGTAGAAAAAAAAGCAAATATGTCAAGCTCTATGGTCCCTTTTTCAGTTCACTTTACAATTCATATGAAGTTGTATTTGTGTGTGTATATATATATTATATGTTTAACTCTCAATCTCCTTTCCTATTTCTATTACTTCAGATTTCATTTGTATTTTCATATCTATTTCATGCATTCATAATTGTATACATTAACTTATCGCTATTGGGCAGAGAAAAAGGACGACTGTGAATAGTAAAATAACCAATAGAAATTCGAATCTGAAACAGGTTAGAAGAAACGAAGTTCTGTGATTCACAGCATTCACAAAATTTATTTTAAAGGGAGAGAAATATCCCGAGTAGCTCTGCTTTAACAGTTTACGCGATATTCAAATTTGATTGTTAAAATAATCCTGCGTAGAAACTGTAAACAGGATTTATTTTTTTCCAGTTAATTGTAGTAAATTGCAGGTTATTGATCGACCACACAGTGGCTGCCGATTGCAAATAATGGATGGGGAAAACTTTAAACTGTCATCTGTTGACTGATATTGAGAAAGAGTACCCATGATCTTGAAAAACATCTTTCATTGAAGATTCAGTCTTGTATGATTCAATGTCATAATAAGAAATTGTAAACCCAAAAACAACTCTGGAATATTCTATTCATAGACGGTTACAATAGTATATTTCAATTTGTGGGCAGTACTTTGAGAAGAAATTAGTTAACTGGAGAACAGAATATTTATTTATATTTTTCGTATCAGTCAGTGAACTAGTGAAATACTCTATTATCAGTTGTTAATTTTATTTAAAAATAGACAATAACTGACACTAGGGAGTACTACAAAGTCAGTACTCTCTGGCGGTTTCAATTGCGTGTGACTCAGCTTCATAGTTAGAGAT